ATTTTGTTTCTAATTTTGTTTATGAAGATAAAAGAGATATTTTAAATAAGATTATCATACAACACCTATATAAGAGATCCACCTCTATGCAATATGGCACATGTTATTATAGTACCCTGAATCATACAACGATAAAGTATTTTCATATATATAATATAGTAGTATTTTCATGTATTCAATATACATTTTTATCAATTCTTCATTGTCTAAAGTTATATACAGTTAAAATAGAAAATTTGAATATCTCCTTTTCATTCACGTAGTTCCATTAAACAATCTAATTTTGATTAAAACTTCAAATTTTCAAACATTAATAGAAAACATTCAAAAAATGGATAAATAAATAAATATTTGTGTGTGTTAATTTAAAATTAGAAATATGAAAGTAAAACTCATTGAAACCAAGTAAGAATATAATAAATGTTCAATTTAATTTTAATCCAGTGGGATAATTTTAGACAACAACTATCATATTTTATACCCAATTTAAGGAGGAATTTTAAATCTATTGAGCAAATATTTATGTATTTTGTTATAAATATAAAATAATATTTTTGTTTTTTTCCTTATTACTTTTATATTTTGAATAATACCTTTTTGTGTTTTTGTATTTATTTATTTACATGTAATAACAAAAACAAAGCGAAAATAAAAACCTTGATATTATCTAGACAAATTTACACAATATATTTGAATCCTAACAGAACATGTACAAAATCAATGGAATTCTTTCATAAATTTGCCAAATATGTATAAGGATTTTACCTTATGCCATGTTGAACAAATGTTAAAGGATAAATATAAAAAAAACATAAATAAAATCAAATAAGAGTTTCAAACACGAACTTAAAACCTGAAAAAAATAATCTTCGTAAGCAATTCTATGTTTACATTCTTTTCAAAATTTACAAAATTTATTTATTTATTTATTATTTATTTTTTCCGATCGATAAATTTGCTGGATAATATTCTTACTATGAAGTTAGTTTACTTGTACGTTTTTTCTATACTATAATGAAAAAATAGTAATTATATGTTTGAATAGATGGTATGATATATGATATCAACTTAGTTCCATTATTTATATTAATATATATTATATATATATAATATTATATATATATATATATATATATGATATATATATATATATATATATATATAATATATATATAATATTAATATGGCTGTAAAGTGTGACATTTCCAATTATATAGATAACATATAATAAATAAAGACGTTTCACATGCATTAATTAGGAAAGCGTGAGAGTAATAGGATTACAGTCATCATCTACGAGGTTTCAGTAATATAGCTTTAAACTCAAAAAGATAGTAAAATATAAGCTTGAACATGGGAAATAGTATCCTAGAATATAAGATTCAACTAATAGTGTCCTAGAAGACTAGGCAGCAGCATTGTCCTCAACTTCCAGACCTGTCTCCAAAGGAACCTCCTCGCCATCTGCTCTCATCCAATTGGATGATCATCGCAAGAAGAAACATACACAAGCAATACAAACAAGCAAGGATGAGCTAGATATAAAAATCATGTTATTTAATCACACACGACATGTAAAAGCCACTCAAACATGATACATTAACATCACAAGACTCATTGCTTTATAGACCGACTCGTCCGGACCAGAATGATTACCGAGTTATGGCGGGTCATGCACTCATGGTGGCCTCTACTGCTTTGTAAAGCCGTTGCTAATGGGTTCCACCCTACCACACTCACGAGGTTAGTCCGTTCCGCGCCCTGGAGCATACTGGAAGCCTCCAAGACTAGGACCTCCTGCTACTCCTCACCACATGGATCAATCCTCTCTACTTGAGAATGAAAGACCATTGGAGCGTCAGGAAAACTCCCAAGACTGAGCTACCATGCAATCATTCTACACACCATCAGGCACCACCATGTATCCTCTCCTTGAGGACCATGGAATTACGTTCAGGAACCGTACTGACACTTTGAAACTTAACCCATACATGAATATCCAGATACCATCATATTATCACAGTGAATCCATACACACCCCACATAAATCACATGATCAGATCATTTTAGGCATGCCAAACACTTCACACACTAGAATCAATCAAGAGAGAGTAAAATAAAAGGCTGACACTAAAAGAATTCGCATAGCGCATCCTGCTCGCAGGGCGAGGCAGGAGGCTCTTGCACAGCGCACACCTTAATTCGCATAGCGAATTAAGTCGCAACACACATCAAACTTCAACCTCTCGCATAACGCACCCAGGTCGCTATGCGAGAACCCAGACAGAGACCAACCTCCCCAAAGTTCTCACTATGCGCCTCACTCACCCTTCAAATTAAATAGGTAGTGATCCCATACCACCACAAGTCGCATAGCGACAGGATTCGCCATGGCGAGTCCATAAACAATGAGCAGGACCCCCTGGTAATTCGCACAGCGCACCAGCTCGTACAACGAATTACCAAGACAGTGAGCACCCTCTACAGGGTCTCGCTATGCGAGACAACTCACATAATGACACTGCATAATTGGCAGAACGCGAATTATGCATAATCACTCACTCACACCAATCCTTACCATTTCTAGTACTCTTAGCTAACTTCTAAGACCTCCAATTCGATTATTAAGTGTAATTATTCTTGTCTAGATGATCCAAATCCTCCCTAGTACTAATCTAAAGTGATTAAATTCAGTTTTACCTTTTAAAACATCAATCCCTGCAACTTATGGACACAATCTCATTTCAACCATTATCTCAAGACTTACTTAGTTCTCTTACCCCTCACTAGTTTCATTGACTCCTCTAAACTATCCCAACTGCCCAATTGGTCACCGGAGAAGAATCAGATGTCTGAACGCATCAGTCTCACCTTCGACGCCAGCACATATGACTAGTCACAACTGACTGGACCAGGTCAGGACTGCTCTATGATCAGGGCTGCTCTATGATCAGGGATGTGCCAACTCAGGTTTTTAAGATTCTTCTATCCTACCAACACAGTACTCTCAACAAGTCCCAAGTTATTTATCTAAGTCATCCAAATTGTCCTAGGGTGTTTTAGACTCCAATTTCCCCATTTCCCTATCTCACTTCCATTCACAGTAAGCTAAAACAGTACCTGTACCCCCTCACTATCCACTTTAACTATTTTATACAGTTCTTACTCCATTCCAGAAATCCAGTATAGCCAACACACACTCGTCCAAGTCAAACAAGGTTCAGTACACCATAGATACACAACTTCCACACATCCAGCAGATGCAAATCAACATGCTCACCACAAAATATAACTCAACAGTAATTAATCATAAATTATCAAGCATACACATCTTATAATTCAAACAAAACATAACTAGCTCCCCTTACCTTGAAGTTGAGCAGTACATCCAACTATTGTGCCCTAACAGTGCCTTCATAGCGTAAATCCAAACAGTGACTTACAACCACCTAATGGGTGATGGAAAACTGCTTTTAGAACTAGAATCGACAGGGAATCAAAATGAGCTCCATGCAACCAGTAAAGTTGCATGCCCTAATATCAAGAAGATTGGAGAATTTGACTTACCCGTCCAATTGAAAATCTAATCGGATAGAATGGAAGCTCTCAACTCCGTGAGCGAAAGAACACCACCTGTTTGAAATTTCAACGGTGGAAAGTGGTGGAAAGGTGGAGAGAAGTCAGAACAAGAAGAAGAAAAATGGAACTGAATTTTAGAAAGAGAAAGGAAAACTGGAAATTGGTTCAGAGTTGAGAAAATGAGGAAACCCCTTCTAAGGTCATGGTGCCTTTGGTCCTTTGGACCTGACTGTCTCAGAAAATAGGTCCCTAGCCCATAAACTTTCAGGACCTTACAGAAAGTTTCCTCAGCAACTGCATTTTGTTTTTCAAAATGTTTATCCTTAAAGACGAGGCCAAAGATGCTAAAAAAAAATATCTCCATTCCTTAATAAATTTATATATATAAATTCATAACATATATTTGTTGTTGTATATGTTAAGACTAATTGTTGCATTTCAAGTGTGTTTCTGTATTAATAAATACAAATACTTCACTTTAAAAAAAACGTAAATTCTTCAAATATTTTCTTGTCTGTTATTCTATAAAAGTATTGAAACTGATGCTTGACCTACACAAACACCCACCTCGTCATATACTTTTTTAAGTTTGATATTTTTATGAATTTTTATTTGAAAGCTAAAGAATAAAACGGTTATATTCTCTTAAATTTGAATTTACTTCACATTTAAATAGACTCAATTTAAAAATATTTCAATAATTATGCTATTAAAACATTATTTCTTTAATGTTTAATAGAATTATTAATTAACATAATCATAAATTAGATATTTAAATTATAAAAGGAATCATAGATTATAAGTGTAGCATAGTTTAGGTAAAGTGAGTAATTAAAGTAAGAGAATCTCCGTAGTATTTCCCAATATCAGTTAACAAGAGTCTTCCTTTGATTTTTTTTTTCTTTAAAAGATGGAACGCATGCTTTCACATTTCAAAATTACTAATAACAGCAACAAAAGTTACAAGAGACATTAATATAAAAATAAAGTAGCTAAAGACAAAATAAAAACTCCCAACACAAATTATCCCATGCATGAGGAAACACAACACCACATATTCCCCCACACCCACGCCACGCCAACTTTCTGAAAAAAATTAGTTATGCAATCGAATTAATGTAATAATAATTTTTAGAGAAAAGAAAGCAACATTTATAATAATTAACACAATCAGAATTTATTCTTATAGCTAACCATAAAATTTCATCAAAATTTATAAAATTTGTGAATTTTATATTTATTTTATTATGATTAAGTAGTTCTTAAGTAATGAAAGAACAGTAGTGAAAGAAATGTAGTAAAGGGTGTGTTAGTAAGTGGCCACGTCATGGTAGCAGAAAAGTGCAGCGTGCACCGCGAAGTAGATTATCGGAACCCGTAAACCTTATGCAACAGTGACACTCACACACAAGCACAAACACACGGCTTTCTCTGTTTGTTAACAGACGTTGTCCATGCTTTCTTGGTGTCTGTCTGTCTCTGTCGCGCACTGTCTCGCTTTCTCTCTCTAAACCATTCTCTCATTCTCTCTCTACCTGACTCAAATTCCCTCGTTTTATCGTTTTCTCATCTGACCAGATTCGCCCCACTTTCCGCCGCGTGAGGCCCTCCGATGTGCTGACGTCCACATGGGTCAGTGCTACGGCAAGTCCAATCTCACGCCGGAAAATGAGGCTACAGCCGCAGAGGGAGCAACAGTTGGCACCGCTATCGCGGTGGCTGGATCCGCTGACGTCCCGCTCTCTCCGCTGCCGGTGAAGGGAACGCCGGCGCGGGCGAGTCCCTGGCCCAGTCCATACCCACACGGTGGCGGTGTGACGCCGTCCCCGGCCAGAGGCACGCCGAGGAGATTTTTCCGGCGGTCGTTCGCGCCGCCGTCTCCTGCGAAGCACATAAGGGCGTCGCTGGCAAAGCGGCTCGGGCACGCGAAGACACCGAAAGAGGGGCCGATCCCGGAAGAAGAAGCGGCGGGAGCGGTGACGACGGAACAGTCGCTGGATAAGAGCTTTGGGTATGGTAAGAATTTTGGGGCGAAATATGAAATTGGGAAAGAAGTGGGTCGTGGGCATTTTGGTCATACTTGTTATGCTAAGGGGAAGAAGGGCGAACTCAAAGACCAGCCTGTTGCTGTTAAGATCATTTCCAAGGCGAAGGTACAATTTCAGTCCAACGTCTTTTCATTTTTTTTGTTAATTTGTTTTTAGATATTTGAGTTTGTTGGTTGTACTTGTGTTTCAATTTTTTTGTGGTATTTTTTGTTATTTTGGTCATTGCGTTGTGTGGTCTTGTTTGTGTGTGTTATTTTTGTTGTTATGAATTATGATAGCGTTTGGATTTGGACGATTCGGGGTTTGATCTCTGTTGTTTGATTGAACGCTCTGCGAGATTCTGTAAGTGGGACTAGGGAATAATTGGGAATTTGTCTGACATAGTTTTTTTACGGATTGGGGTTTTTAGATTTGTAGTTTGTACTTGGAAATGTTACCCGACAAATACATGGTTCTGGGACATTGTCTTGTTTTCCTTGTTTGTAGCTCTATTTAGAATTTTAACTTCACCGTTCTATGGTCAGAGTCATTTGGATTTTACTGAATGAACTGTAAAATTTAAAAGAAAAAAGAAAAACTGGATGTATTTGGAATTGACATGACATTTGACTTGGTTTTACCTTGTCAGCTGTAAGTTTACATGGCAAGGCATTTCTTAACTTGTATGGTTGAACTGAGAATAGTTTTTTTACTTCATATCGTGTGGTATAGTATGTGTAACAATGATATTTGGAAAATTGGTAGTGTAACCTAGGTGGTAAATGATGGTCTCTTTGTTTAAGTGTGCTAGAATAAGTTGTTTAATAAGAAGGTAAAAATGCATGCAGCTTGCCCTTGTTGCAGTTGAATGGAAGTTTTGATCATATTGATTGTTTCGTTAATTGTTGAAATGACTATCCATTATGTTATTCTTTTATTCTATTCAATCATATAGAGTGTGTTCGTTACCTAATTGTGGAAATAATTATCCATTTTGATATTGTTTGATGCTAGCCATTGTTGATACTTTTGGAAGCTAAACTTGTCTTACATGTGTGAGGCATTGGCATATTACAATACTCTGTTCTCTTGGACAATGGCCCAGTCGTTTTATTGTGCTGAGTTTGGAATATTTGTAGCTTCCAGTTGCAATTAGTGTTAAACACATGTTTCTCTTTGTCACAATTTGAGGTAGGGTTAGTCACTTTGTTGGCGGTTTTGGATGCTAGAATTGTCTTACATGCGTGAGGCATTGACATATTACAATAATCCGATCTCTTGGGTAACGGCTCGGTCATTTTAAGATGCTGAGTTTTAGAAGATTTATAACTTCCTGTTACAGTTAGAGTTAGAAGTGTGTTTCTCTTGGTCCCGTTTGAGGTAGGGTTAGCCACTTTGTTGGAGGTTTTGGAAGCTATAATTGTATTATATGTGTGAGGCATTGTCATATTTCAATACTATGTTGTCTTGGTTAAAGGCTCAGTCATGTCTTATGTGTGTGAGACAATTGCTTGGCATATTTATTACAGTACACTGTTCTCTTGTGTAACGGCGCAGTCATTTTATGGTTGCAAGTTTTCGAATATTTGTAACCGGTTGCATTTAGTGTTCAAAATGTTTCTATTTGTCGCTATCCGAGGTAGGGTTAGTTACTTTGTCTGCGGTTTTGGATGCTAGAATTCTGTTACATGCATGAGGCATTGGCATAATACAATACTCCAATCTCTTGGGTAACAGCTATTTTATTATGGTGCCCAGTTTTAGAATATTTGTAACTTCCATCCGCATTTAGTGTTAAAAGCGCGTTTCTCTTTGTCGCTATTTGAGGCTGGGTTGGCCACTTTGCTGTCAGTTTTGGAAGCTAAATTTGTCTTGCATGTGTGAGGCATTGGCGCATACTCTATTCTGTTGCGTAACGGCTTTGTCATGTGTTATTTATCACAATAATCCGTTCTCTTGGGTAACGGCGCCATCATTTTATAGTGTCAAGTTTTAGAATCTCATCCAGTTGCATTTAGGTTTTAAAACATGTTTCTCCTTGTCCCTATTTGAGGTTGGGTTAGTCACTTTGTTGCAGTTTTGTAGTATTATTACCTTGCTGTTTTTTTTTTCTATAAATGGAATGCTTTTTAATACATACAGCATATGGAATTACATCACCTATCCACATTAACATTAAAACAACATAATAGCATAAGGTGGACCCACATTTTTTCACATATGAAAATGGGTCCAAACATGCTGACAGTCTATGATTGGAATTGTGTTGCACACACATGCCAACCAAGAAAATTCACTTTAAAGAATGTCAAGAACCATAAAAGTAGAAGCAATGAACTCAATGTATGTCAAGCAGGTAATGCTGATATTAATGTTCAAAACAGGATAGTTGTCTGCATTCCATATGGATAGCCTAGTAGCCTCTCTAGTTCATATATTCTCACTATGCTGCTTGCTCTCATATTTTACAAATAATTCAATTATTGTATATATAGGAAATTGATTATTTGAAGTTTATTGCATGTTTGCACGTGCCTAACCCAATATTTTTGTCCAAAAAAGGAGTCAACATAATATTATCTTCAAATCCACCCTTTGTCCCTCATAGTTTCATTAGATTTTAAAAAAGAAAAAAGAAGCAAAGGTTATATCACCTTAAAATTAAATTGTTATTCTTTGCACTTGCATTTTTATATCATTTCTAGTCTTAATAAAATTTATTCAGCAGATGACAACTGCAATAGCAATTGAGGATGTTCGCAGAGAGGTGAAGATATTAAAAGCTCTATCTGGCCATCAACATCTTGTCAAATATCATGATGCTTTTGAAGATGCCAACAATGTGTACATAGTTATGGAGTATGTCTTTTATTGTTGTATTAATTATCATTTAATGTATGATTTATGATAGAACTTTATGGTGAGTTTTTGATCCATATAACCAACCTCACATAGTGGGTAAAGCTCGACTGTTCTGTTTTTGTGATTCATTATCATCTATAATTAGAACTTGGTGTCAAGATTGCTATGGAACTGAATCATTATTGTTTTCGTTATACATTTGGTTAATGAGCAGTTACTTTGAACTATAAAAGGCATTGTTGTTTATGTACGGATAATTTTGCCGATGGGACTACAATTAATATGCAGTTTCTCACTTCTGGTTCTCATTTCTTTTGTTCATTCTTTTGCCCGTTCCCAAGGTTTAAACAAGTTCAATTGCATGTATGTAATATGTTACTTTGTTTCTAAGTTTCTACACGACATATATTTTGTTGAGGAATATTTGTTTGTTTAACTGTTGGGGGGCTTGCATCTTAGAACTGTAACTCCATCATACAATGACCTTTTTTGCTTTCTTATCAGATTGTGTGAAGGTGGGGAGCTTCTTGACAGAATTTTGTCAAGGTTAGCCTTTTCTTTTATTTTTTATTTTGACCTCAGTATAATCTTTTTACTTATTGAATGATGCTCACTGTCAAATTAGGGGAGGAAAGTATTCAGAGGAGGATGCCAAGGTTATAGTTTTGCAGATTCTAAGTGTAGTTGCTTTTTGTCATCTTCAAGGTGTTGTGCACCGTGACCTTAAACCTGAGGTTTGTGCTTTGAATCTTCATCTGCATAATAATTTGTAATGATAACAGTTAGGTCTGTTTTTTGTATCATGATGACTACGTATGTAAGAATAAGAGTATCAATAATGTTGTCCATTCTTTGTTGTACTTGCTTTTACAGAATTTCCTCTTCACTTCGAGAAGTGAAGATGCTGACATGAAGCTTATTGATTTTGGTCTATCTGACTTCATCCGTCCAGGTAATTATTAGTGGTTCTATATTTTTTTTTTCTTTTCCTTCCAAAGCAGACTCTCTTATTAACAATGTATTAAATAAAAAGCTAGCTACTAGAAATGCACACTTCATTGCTGCTGCTTACCTTCTGCATAATGCTCTTTGGTCAAATATTTATGGATTTAACACCATCCTTCTTAATTTTTCACTTCATGTGTGTTGATATACAGATGAACGGCTGAATGACATTGTTGGGAGTGCTTATTATGTTGCACCTGAGGTCCTTCACCGGTCATATAGTCTGGAAGCCGATATATGGAGTATTGGTGTTATTGCCTATATCTTATTATGTGGAAGTCGACCTTTCTGGGCACGAACAGAATCTGGAATTTTTCGTGCAGTGCTTAGAGCTGATCCTAACTTTGATGATTTACCTTGGCCTACTGCCTCTGCAGAAGCCAAGGATTTCGTGAAACGGCTTCTAAACAAGGACTACAGGAAAAGAATGACAGCTGTCCAAGCTCTAAGTAAGTTCTCTTATCAGTTCAACTCTATCGTTCTGTGCTAATCATTATGAGATTCTTATCTTGACAGGGACTTGAGTATTATGTGGTAGTGTCTAAATCCCACATCAAGTTGGTATGTTTGAGAGTATTTAAGTGTTTGAAAACAGGATCTACTTTGTAAACTTTGCGGGCAATTGTCCCCACAAACTTTTAATCTTTTTAATATAATGTAATTGTAAATTGCCCCCTAAATTATAATTTAGCATAAAAAAATAATCTATTAAATGAGTATTGCTCTGTTAAACTAATTACTGCATACTTCTGCACATGCAGGTCATCCTTGGTTGAGGGATGACAGCCGACCACTCCCTTTAGATATATTAGTTTATAAACTAGTGAAGGCTTATGTTCTTGCAACACCACTCAAACGGGCAGCAGTGAAGGTATTATTTAGTTTATTTTCTTTGAATATACTTATGCAGAGTTTAACTTTCAGTGTCTTACTTTATGTGAATGCTTACTTCAATCTTCATATTTGTTACCTAACTACTATCTTTCGTGAATGTATGTGCTGCATTTATGCATGCTTGTGGCATTTTTTTCTTCTAATTTTACTATCAATACTTCACTCCTCAATTGATATCACATGCATTTTCCTTCATGGTGATATTTTCCCCATTGACTATGAATATAATCATGATGTTTCGGTTGTGGTGTGAGCCACCTTAATGTTTATTTTTAAATAAGAAATTAAAAGAAAATTGTGCTGTTTATGGTCTATTGTGAATTGTGATGTTGATAAAAAAGACCTTTTTGGGAAACTCAAGGTGTGTTTTTATCTATTTGACATAAAGTATCATATATGGACTTCTTTTTAAGAAACATTGTTTAGCATTGTTTTTGCCAGTTCTGGCATTAGGTTATTGTCTATTGAATATTTTTCTGTCCTGTATTTAAACTAATCACGTGGCTTGTTTTGTCTAGGCACTTTCAAAAGCCTTGCCAGAGGATGAATTGCCCTACCTTATGGCACAATTCAGATTGTTGGGACCAAACAGAGACGGACTCATCTCCCTTGACAATTTCAAAATGGTTTTATACTGCTTCCCTAATAAAATCCTTTGGAATTTATATGGTTCATAAAGTGAACTTTTTCATTTTGCTTGGCGGGGAGGACGCAGAGGTGTTAGAAAACTGTCATTTTCACAGCACAGCTTGCCTTTTTCTTGTTTATATTATTGTGGAAATGAACGTGTTTTTCCTACTTTGAAGGGTTTTGGTTGTTTTCCTGTCCTTTATTTAGAATACATTAATCTCCTTGATTCACAGCTTCAAAGCAAACTTTGCAGGCTCTTGTACAGAATGCAACTGAAGCAATGAGGGAATCAAGGGTTGTTGAGATCATAAATGCGGTGAGCCATTATTCTTTTGGTTGTATTGAGAAAATAACTGTTCAGTCCATTTCTAGTATCAGTGCTGAAGTCCACACTATTTCCCCATCTTGATCGAACACCTTATACTTTCTTGCTTGAATCATTGCGTAGATGGAGCCACTTGCCTATAGAAATATGGACTTTGAAGAATTTTGTGCAGCTGCAATCAGCACATATCAATTGGAAGCACATGAAAGGTGGGAAGACATTGCCTCAGCTGCATTTGAACACTTTGAGGCAGAAGGCAACCGTCTGATATCTGTTGAAGAATTGGCCAGAGTAAATATTTCTTATTCTACCATATATATGAATTGGTAAGTTGTTCTGCAATGCTCATATGTGTTTTTATATTTTGTTTATGGCCACAGGAGTTGAATCTTGGGCCTTCAGCTTATTCAACTCTGAAAGACTGGATAAGAAATAGTGATGGAAAGCTTAACTTACTTGGATATACAAAATTTTTGCATGGTGTGACTGTCCGTAGTTCAAACCCAAGACACAGGTAGTCTTGGATTGGACCCTTTGACATATAGTTTGAAGATGCGGGAACAAAAGTAGATCTTAGAGATTTTTTCTTTTTTTTCTTTTCTCTTTCATGTTTGAAAAAAATAGGATTTGTGTAAATGAATGTGTTACAGAAGTCAATTACATGTCAAATGCTTGTTCTTTAGTCCATTTCGCAAATGATATGGGTCTGGTCCCATGAATATTCATTAACCTGTGAATGCCTCAAAAATATTACATATAGTCAAAATTAAAGCAATTTATATCCAAATTGGCCATTTACTGTCATTATCAGGAAAGTATTTTTATTTGTTTTGATGTCTTATTTATCAAGAAGAACACAAACAGATGCCTCAACATTTGTGCCTGTGTAACTTGATTGCTTAAATTTTCAAAAGTAAAAAAATCCTTATATTTAAATGTTACTTTTGCTTGTTGTAGCGAAAAGAGAATTTTCTGCAGATATATGATGACGAGGTTTGGTTCTTAAGTGTCACTGTTGGCGAGGTTTGGTTTTTGTTATCCTTTAGTATAGCACGAAAAAGCATTCACACTCTTGGCGCAATGGCTACCTAAAGCACATGTTTTTTACTAAGTATTGTTGCAGCACAATATAACAAGGAAAAATAAAATTCTCTTGAGAAAGTAATTAAAGCAATAGAATAGAAAGAAAAATGAGAATAACATACCTTGATGGAATGAGACTAGGATTATGTCAAAGCAATATCTGTAATGAAAAGTCAGATTCAAAAATTTACAGGGGTTTAATAAGAATAGAATAATCAAGCGACAAGTGATTGAAGTAAAGTCAACAAAACACTGCCCAAATGAAATAAAATCAATTTATTAAATACTTTAAAGTAAACAAAATATTATATTATATTTTTTTCAAAAAAAAACTTTTAAAAGGCACGAAAGTAGGATTATTTATTATGATAAAGTTCTGCCTCTATTTAATATATTATGAGTTTAACTTCTTAACAAATGTTTAAACAAATTTGCATTCGTTTAAAGTTGAGTCCTTCATTAGCATACCCAAATCTATTTTAAACATAACATTTTTACTATTGTAGGACTAAACATTCCATCATAAGATTAAAATTTCAATTTTATAAGAATGTTATTTTATTGAAATATATTGTAATGACATAAAAGTTAAAATCCACGGTTCTAATAATAAACTATCATTTCTAAGAATTTACATTATAGTTCCTCTAGATTCTACTTGTTACACAATAAACACTCCATGTACTGTTTGTTAGAAATAATATTTAATATAATTTTCATATATATAGTGTAAAGACTAAGTACTTTATAATTTGATTTATGAATGAAACAATTTTTTATAATAGTTTAAAAACAAAAAACATATTTAATTAAAAAATTAAATTAAGACATTCCTAGAATAAAGTTGCTCTAAGAAACTTCTTGTACATGTGGACTGAATAGCTCTAGGGGCATAGGTGAAGGTGTTACAAGCAAGTATGCAAACAGATGATGTTCTTGTATGGTAAGCATGGTCTAGAATGTTTTGAGTGGTAGAGAAAACATTATGAGCACTGAACCTAGTTGCAACAAAAAGTGAACCAACCATAGTAACTTATAGAGGCTGCTGCTTTTTGTATAGTTATAGTGATTGAAAATTGTACACAAGTCATGTCTGTTTCACCGGCAGCTTCCATCACAGCAAAAAGAAGATAACTTCCTTTCTGTTATCTAATGAACATGTTCGTCCCTTTGCCTTAACCAAAGACCTTATTAACTTTTCCACAGCCAAAAACAAAAGAAGAAAATAGGTGATAAAGTTGGTATCCAAAATTCCAAATTTGACAAATAAAAGCATTCTACAGTTGAATTATGTGAAAATCATCACTCATTTTTTTGTTTATCAAGATTCAGAGTTCAACAAAATGCTGCCACAGGAACAATCGTTTTCCTGATTTGAAAGGCAAATTTCAAGATCATATTTTGCCTTTAGCTTGTTAATTTCGAAAGATGTCATGTTTCTAGAAAAATAAACTAAAATAGATAGGCTCATTTTAAAATTTCGATAGATTTTTTGCTTTATAAATCAACTTTGGAGGGTAAAATTTATCAGTCGTAATTATGTTTTTTTAATATTTTGGTCGGATAGAAGTGATTTTAAATGGAAGTCACTAATTTAAAAAAAAAACAGTATATTTTCACTAAAAAATGTTAGTTTACCATTTAAGTATAATTATTTTGAAATGACATTCCTAATTATTAAATAATTTCATGTCGACAAGAGAGTCCCACCCTCATGACTGAAAATTATTAAAAAAATTAATAATAATTGACAAATGGTTGCCCAAATTAATATTTTTTATCAGTAAATTGCTTTTTATAAATGTGATTTGAATTTATATGCACTACTCTTTTTGGGCGGCGAGGGGTTGTTTTCATTTCAACCATATGAGAAATAAAAATTGAGAAATGTAAGGTCAACGTCATTGCCTCAAATAATGTTTATTTGATAATGGGGTTGACTTTTTCTTTATCAAATAAGAGTACAATTTGGGCGATAAAGTATTTCCTTATAAATCAATTATCATAAAAATAATAATTAAAATTGTTATCATATATAGTATATTATTAAAATATCTTCTATCATTGAATTTAAAAATTTGGTTTTAACATCGTTTTTCTTTAGTATGATCATTGTATAATAGAAATTATATTGTTAATTGGAATAGATTTTGTGAATTCACAGTTATAATATAATATATGCATCACTATCCATTAAAAGAATGTCCAAGACATGTTGCGTCAATGGTTGAAACAACTTTATTCTATTTTTCCTCATATATGTATGTATATTTTTTTTTAAATTGTTGATTACTTGATTTATTAAAGTTAATCTATCTTATTAAATGAGTGAACTTGTTGAATAAAAGTGAAATACTTCAATACTACTTTTTCTTTAAACATGAGCACACATATTACGAGTAATAGTATCCCGTCTATGAAATTTGATAAAAAAAATGTTATGAGAGGAATTAGGATTTTTTTTTTCAATTTTAATATTGTTGTCCTTTTATCATATTAGGTTAGAGAAAATTAGAAATACAACATCAATAAAATTGGAGTTCAACTACATAAAGAATTAATATCATTCTCTACTTAAAATCACCTAAAGATAATAAATTCATGACTTTTCATCTTTATATAGTACTCTAATTTATCATTTTTATCAATGAGACTAAATTTACATTTGGAATTCTAACTTAATATACACTATTTTAATAGTTTAAATATATTATTTTTTAATGTATTAAAATTAATGCATATTAAATTCACAATAAAAAATATAAAGATTCTTAAACAAAAATCTTGATTCATTGGATAATGTTATAGTTTGTGAATCTTTATAGTTATTGAATCTTTTTATGGTGAAGTGGTCGATCGAAGTTATCCATAGTTGTGGTTTTCTAGAAAGAAGTGTAAAGTAAATTGAATACATCAAAAGAGACAAATAATAAAGTCAGAATTGGCAATTTTACCAGATTAGTTGAATTTGTAAGCTCCTTGAGTATTTCATCGTCATCTTCCCATAAATAATATAAATTATTAAGAAACATAGTGATGTTGAGTCCAAGTAAAGTGTTCAAGATTTAAGAACATTCAACAACTCACAAAAATATATGTGCACTGTGTTTGTTTGGTTTTCATCGTTTGTTTGTTTGTTGCATGTGTTTCTCTTAGTCAATGATGAGCACTGTTTTTATTCTTATCCCATTCATTAATCTTGCCTATTCATAAACTTTCTTCGAATTTTTCTTTATGCATATTTGTTTAGCCAATTATAGAATAACTAGAATTTATTTGATTTAGAAATGCTTTTCTATTTTTGTGTAATTTATATGTAAAGGTTACAAGGTTATTAACTCCTTCGATACATGAATTATGTTCCTTTCTTAGGCATTCTCCAAATGTAAATTCAGTTTGGTGAATTTTAAAAATGATTTATAGATTAATTCAATTTGAAACCAAAAAAAGAAAATTTAGATGTTAATTATCAATCCCAATACAATACACAGAATGGGATTATTTGAAAAATTACAAAATAGTCTTTACCACTAGTTACAATGTATTGAAAAATGAAAAACTGGTATAGTTATCAATTAAGAAAATAATGCTTAACAAAAACTTAAGATTGTATTTAATATTATGTTAATAACATTATTGTTAGATATAAGAAAATAATTAGAGAAAGTTTGAGTTTTATTGATTAGATTCTTAATATAAATAAGTAGTTTTTTCTGTTAAGAATTTACTCCATTTTTTTCTTGTTCAAGTGTTTCGTAAACAAGCATTGTGAAGAAACACTGTCTTCATATGAAGAAAGATAATTTTAATTATTTTAATTAGAATTTGAAATAAATATATGAACAACAAAGTGAATATGTGACCCACTTTGTCTACATAGATAAGATGTCAAAGTTTGTAATAATCTTTTTAAACTCTATTTCATAAAAATTTGAATATCTATCATTAGGAGAGTAGAGAGAAGTAAAAAAAAATAATTGAATCAAATATATTGTTTGTATTGAGACTATATATAATATTTAATTATGATTAACTATTAATTCTAAGATAGAGAGTGTATATTAAGAAGAACTTTATACACATATGAGTTAATTGATAATCAATTTTGACATGAATAAGTTAAAAATTGTTTTTAGATAAACTCAAATAAAATAACAATTAATATCAATGTGTTTAAACTTAAGAGGAGTTAGAAGTAATATAAATGACATATTTATTATTATAGAAGAGTATGATTATCTCAATTAAAACTATATAATGTTAGGTAGTTGTTGCCCTCAAACTTAAAGGTAAGACAAATATTTTGATTATGTAAAAAAATTATATGATTATTTAAAAATTAAAAAAATTACCAGATTTGATTCAACTATTGTATACTGACAATTAATCCCATTTTTATTGTGCATAAACTGAAAGATGAAATTTTATATTGGTAAAAAAACAACAACTAACATGAGGTGTACTTCAAATTGTATAAGAAGTGATAGGCTACACTATTTGGAAAGAAAGATGTCTTCCATAATACATTGAATATAACATATTACTCTATTTCATTGAAATATAGTTGAAATTTTTTATATCTTAATTTGAAAATGATTTATTGAATTGAAAAATTTATGTAGATAACATTCGAAATATGTCATAATTGATAAATATATGTGTTTCATATGTATATGATCAAGTGTTTATTTAAAATAATCTTTCTTACTTTTTTAGCTTTTTTCATTAAAAATACTTTTATGCTTAAGTTAGTTCGTTATTCTATATATATAATTGTTAATATTATAATAAATGCGTTGTAAGAGTTTCAACAACATTATATTTAATCTGTATTTTAGGTTTCTCCATGAATTTCTGATTAAGATTAACCTAATTATAACCTAATTATAATTAATATGATTACCTATTTATTTAATTCACCTAAATGATTGATTAAATCTTATCAACATCAAATTTAATTTTCTAACCGATGACAATCAATTAAATCGATATATTAAATTATTTAATCTGTAAAATATATATTATTTATTATGAGATATGTGCACTTCTTCTCCTTAAATTATCAATTTTTATAGTACTTATATTTAATATTATATTAGTAAAATTTTATAATTAAATAATAGTGTAAATTTGTATATATATATATATATATATATATATTTATAAATTAATAAAATATTTATTAATTTTAATCAAACGTTTTTAGAATTTAAAAGAAGTACTTTTGTTTTATTATAAAATTTATTTAGCATTTAACACATAAAAGGTTAATGTAGGTGTACCTATACTTCGGACTTATTAGCTAAGGTTAATACACTAATGTTCAACGTGTTAAACATGACAAGAAATTAATAAAAGTATTCTTTTTTAACTTAACTTTTATATTTATCATTTCTTTTCTTTAAAAAGACCAAAAAAAATCTGTTTTCTTAAAAAAAATATATTCATGCTTTACTAAAAGCATCGTCCTGTCCACAACAAACAGCAGATAAATCTTTAAAATTGCTAGGTGCCACGCGATTCACCCTTGGAACACAGTCCTAGATAGACAAGACAAGATCCACCGCTAAATTAAATTCTAAAAAGTCAATATCATAAAAATTGCCCTCTTCGATGCATACAAAAAGAAAAAAAAAAAATTTCATAGCCAAAGCAAAAGTTACATTTAATGATGATAAAGGGTTTTCGAAAGAGGAGAAATGGTATAATGTCTCATTGCAGTCAAAGGAAAATTCTTATAATAATTCATTTACACTACATGTTTCCACTAACATATTTTGTGACAAAATAATTCAATGTTGGTGTCTCGTGGTTCCAATTCGTGCTCAATATTGTGCACTCCACTTACAAATATTGTGCTAACTAATCCAAAAACAAAAAGAAAAATTCAGTGGAGGGACATGCACACCTTAATTTCCCACCATGTTTCTTTTCACCCAAGTGAAAGGAAAGTGTGAGGATGTCGCCTTTTGGGTTATTAACATTGCTGTTAAACCATCACTTTTTAATTATTCATATTCAATTTTTGGAAATATTGATCCATCCCTAAATTTGACACTTGTGCTTTGAGATTGTGTTTTTATTCTTATTTGATTAAGAGAATAAACTTATGATAGAGAAACAATGAGATTTTTATGCATATCCAAAGCTGCAACCTTTAGTTTAATAGTTATACATGTCATTATTTATGTGAATGTCAACTAGTTGACTAGTTGCAAATAAAATAAATAATATGGCTTACATTTTTAATCTTATAGTTTTTTTTATGCATATTCTCTCGTCTTTTATACACCTTTGTCTGACATGCCCTTTTTAAATGATGATGTAACTAAAAAAATTAAACAACTAGATATTTTAAAAATATTGTTTGAGAGCTATAGTGTTATTATTCAAAAACATGCATTGAAAAAAATATGTTTTAATTTGCTCTAACTGAAATTCAGAACCGAATCACTCTTTGTGGTATATGAAGTTCAATTTATATAATACTATAATTAACTAGATATTTAAAATAAATAAATACAACAATACATGCTATTGGTGTGAATTTCTTGAAAATATTTTTGTGATATTTGAGATTTTTCTACTTCTTAATTATGTGGTTTTGTACTGGAGTAGAATCTGATAAAAAAAACAATAAGTTCTAACTTACATTATTATATTAATTGATATTTTCCTACCATAATCACTAGCATTTTGTCTCATCTCTGACCAAGAGAACCTGCAAAAACTTTTTCCAAGAAGTTTCCTTCCTTTTATTTTCCAAGAAATTCATGAATTTATGATTTTGTAATGTTAAGAAAATGTAACCAATTGTTTCTCATGAGATTTTGCTTTGGGAGAAAAATAAAATAAAATAATTTACAAGTGGAGATTTTGATGTAACTTCCTTGTATCTAAGTGCTCATATTGCTTAGATTCCGTCAACATTTAGCAACACCATGGTATAAGATGTCAACCCAACATCATGATTCATTATTTAAGAATGTAATATTATTTCTTCTTTGCACCTTTTTTTATTATTAAGGAAAGCATGAACCAGGCACAATTTGAAAGAGGGATTGATTTGTTATACTTTCAAAACAAGGGATGAAAAATACCATGAATATACACACCTAGAACTTTTAAATTTTGTTTTTATCTCTCATTATTTTTATTCATTAAATATTATCCTCTAAAAGAAAGCAACAATCACAAAAAGCCAAAAACACAATGTATCCTTTGTATATAAGCCTCAAAGAGTGCAGTATTTTGTTGATATGAGGTCATGAATGATAAAAGTAAATAAGAGAATAAAATCACAGAAACAGTGAATTATAATGTACAATTTTAATTTTATACTTATTTTAATTTTTTTCATATAATTGATTATATTTATTATTTTCCTTTTGACTTTTATCTTCCAATTACTGATTATAATTTTGGTATAATTTTATATCATACATATTTTGTTGAACTTTATAAAAGTTATAACTATTCTATCCAAAAAAAGTCCACCGATTTTAATTTGTACTTGAACTTTATTAGTTTTTTTCTATAATTAAACCCTGATAATGAAATTTACTTTTTGCAACAAAAGTACCTTAAGAAATCAGATACAAGTCTATATTAAAAAAATACTATAGCAAGTACATTCAAAGCATAGCAAAAATTAACCTGACAAAATAGTTATTTTATAAAAATTGTTTACTGACATTAAATATAAATGTTCTCCTTAACATCCTTTTCTTTGGACCATGTGAATTCAAGCATAGAATTTTCATTAGTTTCAATTCAACACAAACAAAAACTCATTGAAATTCAATTAATGCAGCCATGTATGATTTTGTGTCCCAATGTGTGGTTCTTTTCAAAAGTGTGACAAGAGAAATTATTAAATAATTGTTCAAATAATTAATAATTCTGGATCAAGCACTAATCTCTTGTTTTTGAGATAATGAAAAATCATGATCCCTTTGCTTTCCGTAAAGCCAATAATTCGTGTGGGGTTAAGATTGTGTTGTTGTGTACATAGAACAGTCAATGACTACTTCAGAAAGTAACAGCCAAAGATGATAGTGAGAAAACTTTGATATTCCTGGACCATAGCTTCAGATAAAATAAACTCCAACCCTAAAATGTGTTTCCTGTTTGGATCTTTTTGTTTCCCCTTTAAACCTTGAAGGAGTACAATCTACAAAGGTTAGACTTAACCGAATTAAATGTCTGTCCTTTGATGATGCATATAAAATAACACTACAACCTTTGCGAACGTGGAAGTCATGCACCCACCCACTGACACCTTTTTATCTCTCTGCACGGTAGTTTGTCCTTCTCCTTCACCTACCCATCTTCAATGCAATGATCCAAACAATCACCAAATATGCAATTTTCCATTGTCAGAAGGAAAAAACAAATATGGAACGAAAATCTCAACACTGTGCCACCTCTCACTCTTTTCTAGAGTGATATCAGTGATTCAGTTTTTTTCAGATTTCAGAAAACAGAAATGGTCCACACACCCACCTCATTCTTTTGTTTCAATTTTTCTTTATGCAAACCTCATTTTCCCTTTCTGCTATGTAACATAAATTACATCTCTTACAAAGAAAGCACTTAATTGGAATGAATTACGGTGCAAAAGTTCCAATTGATTAGACAATCATTGAGATAAAGAGATTGGCCACCGGTACACACCACCACAGATTTTCGTAATTTAGATAATCTGAGCTTAATCAAGAATGTAACCCCAGCTCACAAGCCCCATCATCTACAGTGACAGAAAGACTCGATTTTTTTTTTGTAATCAGAGATTAATTAAGAAAGGAACCCCATGTGTTACAGTGAGAGGAATTCAGTGACTCAAAAGAGAGGAAAAGAAACAAAATTTCGGCCCTACTTACCGTCAATTCCTTCTTTTTCGATTTCTTCTCTTTCCAGAAAGAGTGGTGTACCAATTATTCCAGCGCGTGAAAAATTCTTCACAAGAAAAAGAATAGAAAAGAAAAGAAAAGCATCTCCTTTTTCCATAACGATTCCTAGCAATATAGAAAAAAAGTAAGTACCATTGGGAAGAAACAACATTCTATTGTCTTCACCTTCACCTATCTAAGGAACTTTCTTTCACATAAAACCAAACACTACCAAAAATAAATCTAAAAGCTAGCAAATTTACATGAGATAATCATTGAAAAACTAAAGGAGTGCCGATTTGTTGCCAAAGATCAATTCTATCTCCATGGTTTCACCAAGGTTTTAAATTAAAGTCACACCAGTCTCTTCAGAATTCTGAATATTTAGAAAACTGTGGACAAAACCCATTTGTTAAAACCTTGGTTAGGAGCCGAATTCAGAAGCCAAAGCAACCAACATGGTGGTGGTGAAGGGACTTGTCCCTATCAATCAGACCCCGGACGTTTCTGAATTCCTCAACGTGGCAAGGGATGGTTATGGTTCCCTTCTGGTCGAAACCGTATTCTTCCTCTGCCTCCTTGAGAAGCTGCATGAAGAGAGGATGGTTGATGTACATGACAGGAACCACGAACCTCTGTTGCTCTTCTCCTTGACCAACCTTAATTGCCATGCACCCTTTTGGCACCCCTCTGAACTCTTGCTTCTTCCCATCACGATGGTGCAATTGGAAACTCCTTGGACTCTTCTCCCCCATGCCCATTTTCTGCAACCAAGAAAGCCAAAAGACAAGGAAACCGACACAAAAAGAAACACACCCCAAAGTTTGTGAGTTTGAGGATGTAAAGAAAAAAGTCACAGGAAAACGAGGGTGAGGAACGACCAAGGTTCTGGGTCTGCCATCGCCATGTTGAAGTGAGTTAGAAAGGAGTAACTCAGAGACCTTGGATCGTTGGACATGGTTGATGGTGAGAACTACTCATGCTATGGTATGCCAAACACTTGAAACTGATGATATATAGGACAAAGTGTAGAGAGAGATACAGAGTATTTTTTCCCTGAATACGGGGTCTAAGTTAAAGACTACTTGGGTGACTAGATCTGCACCGTTTGATCGTGGCGGGTGATGATGATCACATCAAGGTGGATGGATCGTGTCACTCTAAGAGGCTTTTAGAGAAAATAGGAAAGGTTGGTTGGAATCTAATATGTTGCCTCCCTCTCATCAAGGACACTCTTGATGATAACATCATATCTATAATAAATCAAGATCTTGTAAATTTGGCAATAGACCATTAAATGTGCAATTAATATATTTTTAATTTTTAAAAGAAATATTTAAGTGGGCAATAATCATTAAATGTGGCTACTTTTTTTGTTAAATGTTGTTATTTAGTTTCAAACTGGTCAAAGTTTGTTCTAATTTTTATCATAAAAATAAACATGGTTCTTTTGATATTTTTTTCATCATAAATAAAAATGAAGAATTTAATTTAAAGTGAGATATATTTTGCGGATAAAGTTACTATATTTAAAGGAACTAAATGTGATTTTATATTAAATTTATGAAATATTCGCTTCATAGAAATAATTTATCAAAATTATTAGTTTAAAAATAATTCTGATAATTTTTATCATACATATTACGGAGAATGATTGGATATCATATTACATTAATCTAACGATAATTTTTAATAACTATTTATTTTTGCATGAGTTGAGATGAAGCAGCCTTTTAAGAATTGTATCTAACACACAAATACACGAAAGGTTGCCTTAAAAAAATTGTGACACACAACATAAAAGAGTATTATCTTTTGGATTTGACTTTTTTCCTATTTGTGAAATTGACAAAAAAGTGTAGAAGATTCAATTTATTTTAATTTTTAAAGTATTTAATAAAATAATTTATGAATTCAACAAAATTATACTGATAGTGTGAATATTTTTTCATTATTATTTAATTATGAATTACTATATATGATAAAGTTTAGTTTCAAGATAATTATTTTAAAATTTATATCTATAATTGTTAAAATTGATTAAAAGTAAAAAAGAAACAAACTTTATATTATGACTTATTTACGAAAATTTGATGAATAAAACAAAAAACAAACAGGGCATGGTTGTTGTTGACTAAATATATACATTTTCTAATTTTTATTTCTGTGTGATTTGAATTTAAAATTAGCTAAACAATAATACGTTAAATGTATATATATATATTGTATTTTGGCAGAATTTACACATAGATATTAGATATAGATATATACACATACTAATCTGAATATACGTTGTTGAAAAGAACAAACAAAACTTCTTATATGTGGTCCACGTAACGCAAAGGCAACCTCAAATAATATATTTCACGCACTCAAATATATTTTGGAATAGCTTTATTTGTTCTTTTAAAATGATTTAGGTTAGACACCCAAAGTAACAAACTTAATAAAAGTAAACTAATTGTCATGGATAATTTTTATTTACCAAAACTTCTATTTATTCTATATTTTTCAAAAATTTCAAATTTAAGATAGAAATATATATCAACAAAAAGATTAGGATCAGAGAATTATTTACAGAATATTTAACAACTTTTTTTAATTAATAATTTATATCAGAGAGTACAAATTATTCTATATGCAGAAGAGATGGATATAATAGTTTTTGCGATTTATAAATTTATATACTTATTTATAATGAGGTGAAATAATAACTCTTTTAGTTGAAGACTTATATTAATAAAATATTTTAATAATATTATTTTTTTATTTCTTCAAAATTAAGCACGGGAAATATAATTTTAAAGAGAAAAAAATCATTTGGATCTTTTCATTTTATTTTAATTATTAGTTCAATCTAATTAAAGAAAATACTTTTATGTTTTTTTTTCCTTCTCGACGTACCTGGCATAATTACAAAAAGCTTGTATAGTGGTATTATAATATAACATTAGAAGATTGCTAAATTTAAGAACAATGGATAAGAAATATCTTTCATAATTGGTAACTCTCACAAAAATAAATGTATATTGACCAACTTAAAAAAACTGATGCATTGTTTTGTGAGTTCAATTAATTTTGTTGACCGTGTTCAGGCACATAAATATACTTTTAATAATAACCCATGCTTTTATAACTTATGTTCTATTTTATGTTCAATAATTCTTTTTCCGATACATTTATTTTGTTAATGTAATCACACATTTTAACTTATCTACACTTTTAATTGTCTTTTAAAACTATTCACTTAGTTTATATTCCTACAAATGTCTTTAGTCAGACTTTTTAAGAAATTTAAAAAATATTTTCATTAGGATATATGTTTTATACTTATTTTGTAAAATATTTCTATATGGTTTCTAATAAAGGAATTATCTTTCCATTTCTTTGACATTTCCGTTCATCAACAAGGCGTTTAGAAAAGAATTTTTTTTTTATTTCAATCACATTATACCTCTGTTTAATAATGGAATAATATATATATTGATAATTTAAATTAAAAAATTAAAAAAAAAACTATTAATTTATCAGTAGTCAAGTGGATTTCTTTTCATTTCAAAACTGTTAAAATAATGCATGTGCTAAAAAATATACAATAAGTTAACAACTTAAAGGGTATCTTATATATCGATTATTCAGTTAAAAAACCATATAAATTAAAAGAAGTTATTTGTAATGTGATTAGAATAAAAGAAAAATAAATAGTAAAGTTGGATTTTTGTTAGTCGTGGGTAAGTGATAAAAAGGGAGAAGAGGGTGAGTGGAGGAAGGGAGGACACGTGGAGTGGGGTGAGGGCTGTGGTGATGACAGCTAGGTGGATGGGGAAAATAGGGAGGGACAAACCAATAACAGGTCTGGAACATGTCAGGTGGCGATCAAATGTGTCAACGTTGTTTCTTTTGTTTGTTTGAATGCTCAGAGCTACACTTATTCCACTTTACGGAACCTTTGTACTTTCTTTCTTCTTTCCATCAAATTTCCATCTTACTTTCCGCCTTCTCACTTCTAAGGAATACCATCAACCTACGAGATGCCGTAATATGTCTTTATGCGGCATAATTTATATAAATTTTTCATTCAATCACGTTAAGTAAATATGAAGTTAATCTATACCATATAAATTAGGATTACTTTTCTATTCTATTATTTTACACTATAGTAATAAATGAAATCATTCAAAATTATTAAAATGATATATTATAATAATAATAATAATAATAATAATAAAAGAAAAAAAATTAAGTGCATGTGAAATAAGGTGTTGTATAACTATTTTTCTATTTGGAGATTAAAAATATATTGATTTTATGTTTTATGTGTTTTTTTTACAAAGAATGTTAATTTCTTTTCTTATTTTTTGTTTTATTATTACATAGTTATGGATGAAAAATTGGTTTGAACAGTGTCTATTTACTGTTTGAGTAGTAAAAATATTAATTTAATAAAATATAAATAATTTTTTTTCACATAATGAATATTTGCAGGTATAGGTAATATGATTTTCAAATCCATTCCATTTAAAAATGAGTATTAAAATATAAACTATTCGCAAGTACCAACTTTTAAAAGTTATAATGTTAATGGTTGGTATAAACGAAAACCAGTCAGATGATGCAATTTGGTACTTGGATGTTGCCTGCTCAACATATATAATTGGGAAGAATTTGTAAAAAATGAAAGAAATCATGCAAGGAGTTTGTTGATGACAAAAGTCTCACAACACAAGGATATGTAAGAGTTGTTTTGAGAAATGGTGATGGTAGAGAAGTTGTGAGTGATGAAGTTTTGTGTTGACGGGGTTGAAGACAAATCTACTAAATATAGGCCAACTACTCCAAAAGGGATTTGTGATGAGAATGGAAGATAATTGTCTCAGTATTTTGATCAAAATAGAAGATTGATCATCCAAGCACATTTGTCCCAGACTAGGACATTAATGCTTTCCTGTTTAGAAAACAAAACAGAATGGCTATGACATTTGAGGTTTGAACATCTGAATTTTAGAGATTTATCTAAACTGAGTCAAACTGAAATGGTTAAAGGTTTACTTATTGTTGAAATTCCTAAAGCAGTATGTAAAGAATGTGTTCAATGTAAGCAAACCAGAGGAAAATTTCAAAAGTTTTTGCCTTAAAGGATAACAGAGAAATTAAGTATGGTATACTCATATGTGTGTGGTCCTTTACAGACTGAAACACCTAGAGACAACATGTATTTCTTACTATTTGTTGATGATTGGACCAAAAAAAGTTGGACATACTTGCTAACAAGGAAAAATGAGGTGCTGCAAGTACTAAAGAAATTCAAGGATATGGTGGAAAGACAAAGTGAGAAGAAGATAAAAACTTTGAGGATGGATGGAGGAAAAGAGTATACCTCTATGGAATTTAAGAAGTTTTATGAGATGTTTTATGATGCTACAATCACATTGGAAGGGAATTTTCTTCATTATGCTCTATCAGTAGAAGCTGAACCCATTGAGTTTGAACAAGTTATTATTGATAAAATATAGCAGAAGGCAATGCAAGAGGAAATTGAGTCTATTAAGAAAAGTTAGACATGGGAATTGACCGAATTACATTCAAATAAGAAGCCAATAACACTAAAGTGAATCTATAAGTCAAAAATAAATCCACAAGACATTATAGTGAGATACAAGGCTAGATTAGTTGCTAAAGGATTTTTACAACAGGCTGCAGTGGATTACGGGGAAGTATTTGCACTTGTAGCAATAATTGAGACAATTAGGTTGGTAGTGTCATTAACAACTAATTCCACTGGTCTTTGCATCAATTGGATGTGAAATTTACGTTTTTGAATGGCAAACTAGAAGAACAGGTGTATGTTACTCAACCATAGGGGTTTAAGGTCAAGAAGCATCAAAACAAGGTGTACAGGCTGAGAAAGATTCTTTATGGGCTTAAACAAGCTTCAAGGGTCTGAAATCAGATAATTGATGGCTTCATGAGCAGTATTGGGTTTGAAAAACGTGTTTCAAAACATGGTCTGT